ACAGTGTAGAGGCTACCAGATTATTGGCAACTAAAACTCTCCCCCTGTATGACAACTGTGGTAATAGCGGTTCCCATTTAGACAATCGGGCAGATACCTTATCCAGCATACCCTCCCAATTCTTCATTCGATATTTATCACTACCAATAAAAACTCCTAAGACTTTAATCCCATCCTTACCCCATTTCAAACCCCCTGGTAACTTTGGATATCCCACCTCATTCCACTGACCCATAATATACCCCTCACTTTTCTCCCAATTTACTTTGGCTGAAGATGCTTTTTCATAAGTTCTAATATTTTTATTTAAACTTCTAATGTCTTCCTGCCCGGTGATAAATACTGTGATATCGTCTGCATAAGCAGATAAGACCTGTTTTACAATTTCACCTCCATTTTTATATACAACACCATTTAAATCTTTCCTAAGTTTGAGTAAAAGAGGTTCAATCATTAGACTATATAGCTGTCCAGACAATGGGCAGCCTTGTCTGATTCCTCTTCCAATAGGTACTTGTGCACTCAAAGCCCCACCAGCCTTAACCATTATAAATACATTTGAATACAACAGTTTTATATATGATAAAAATTCTTCGCCAAACCCAAAGTTTTTTAAAACATTAAAAAGATAGCCATGGTCCACTCTATCGAAAGCTTTTTCTTGATCTAATGATAAAACACCAAGATCCTTACTTGTAAGATGACTAAAATCAACTACATCTCGTAACATAAAAATGTTATCAATAATTGACCTATCTGGGACACAATATGTTTGATCATTCTCAATCAGGAATTGTAAACAATGCATAATTCTATTTGCTAGACATTTTGACAAAATTTTGTAGTCCAAACATAATAATGACACAGGTCTCCAGTTTTTCAATAAACATAAATCCCCTTTTTTTGGTAACAATGAGAGAACTGCACGTCGACAACTCAAAGGAAGCAACTTTTCTTTAAAACAGCTTAAAAATACTTCATATAAATCCATTCCGATTTCATTCCAAAATTGTCGATAAAATTCAACCGGCAGTCCATCTATTCCCGGAGACCGTCCATTAGACAATTGCTGCATTGCCTCAGTTAGTTCTTTGAAAGTAATATCTCTGTCCAACAACTTTTTTTGTTCATCTGGTAATCTTGGCAAGTTCTCGAGTAGTTCTTCCGCACTTTTAATGTCACATGGTTCCTTACTATATAATGTTCTATAAAAATCAACAGCCATCTTTCGTATTTCCAATGTATCAGAAGTAATAGTCCCATTTTCCCGGCGCAGATGATGTATCTGTTTCTGTTGAGCACTTTTTTTTTCTAAGTTGAAAAAGTAAGAACTGGGAGCATCCATGTCTTTAATGGAACAAAATTTTGCTCTTATCATTGCTCCTTTTGCCCGTTCGTACAAGAAAGATCCAAGTTCTGCTTTTTTCTTTTTCAAAAAGTCTTTCTGCACATTTCCAGGATTATCCATAAGTTCTTTTTCAAGCTGCACAATGTCTTTTTCCAGTCTTTGTATTGTTGTCTTAATTTGTAAGGAAGAGTTTAAAGTATAGTTCTGGCAAAAAACTCTTATCTGTGCTTTGCCCACCTCCCACCATTGACTAAGGCTTTCAAAAGAATCCTTTTTCATTTTCCATTCATTCCAAAATAATATAAATCTCTCACAAAACAAAACATCTTGTAGTAATTTTGTATTAAAATGCCAATAATATGCACATCTTGACGTTTTTGTCATATTAAGTTCTAAACCAATCATATGATGATCCGAAAAAGCAGTAGGGGAAATAAAAGCCTTTATAACCCTGTTGTTCCATATTTGTCCCACATAAAAACGATCCAATCTTGCACCATGTACCATATTATCTGTCACTTTAACCCATGTATACTGTCTTTCCTCTTTATTTCTTAATCTCCATATGTCTACTAACCCATTTTTCTTCATTATTCTGGATAAAACTAAACTAGATTGATTATGAGGTTCTTCACCATTTCTATCAACAGTAAAATCTGTTGTACAGTTCCAATCTCCACCTAAAACAATACAAACACCTTCTTCTACTCCTTTTAAAAACTCATTTAATTTCATAAAAAAACTCACCCTTTCCGACCCATTATTTGGGGCATAAACATTAATAAAACCAAACAAAAAGCCTTCAATTTCTATTTTTGTATACAAGATCCTACCTTTTTCAATTTCTTTTACTAATAATATATTAGCATTTAAATTTTTGGAAATTAATATTGCAACTCCTGCACTATTATTTGATCCATGACTCAAAAAAAGTTTTCCACCCCACCACATATCCCATTCTATTTCGTTATCACAATCAGAATGTGTTTCCTGTAAAAAGGCAACATTAATCTTTTTTAATTCTAGAAATTCTGAAATCACTGCCAACTTTTTCCTATCTCTACCCCCATTAATATTTAAGGAGCCTACCCTCAATTGCTCCATAAATAAATGAAAAAAAAGACAGGACAGAAACAGAGCCAGAAACCAAAAAAAGATAGACACCCTGTGCAGCCTATACATTTTTTACTTCTTTAATTTACGAGGTTTTCCTTTGCGCAGTTTTGTTAAATGCTTTCTCAACCGAAATCTCTTCTGCTTACTCAACTCATCAAGGCTTACTGTTTTCTGAAGCAACACAACCGAAGCAATAAATTTATCCACATCTGGGAAAAAATCCTCAACCTCAATCACTTTTCCAAAAGTTTCATCTAGAAAATCATTTATTTCCTGTAATGTATACAATTCTCCCATAACCTGGGGACCAAAATCTGAAATATCTGAACAAGCATCATCATCCATAGTCTCATTGTCATTATTCATTTCAAGACCTTGTGAATTTTCAAGTTGTTGCTCAATTTCTTTTTCTTCAGTCATTGTCTCTACACCTGCTCCACTACTTTCTGCCACAATCTCGTCATCATCATCATCATCATCATCATCATCATCGTGTCTCGCTATTTCTTCGACTGTATTGTTCTGGTTTATGGAAACCACAGGCCCGTCATCAGTTCTAACACTACCACTGTTACTATCAGCAACATCACCATCATGCGTTTCATTCACAACTCGGGGTTGTTCCTCCACTACATTTGTGTTAATATCACGGTCTCTGTCAACAGAACGCTGTTCTATATTTTCATCAGCCTGCACTTTATGAGGGCATTTGGCTTTTTTGTGTCCTAAATCTCCGCATTCAAAACACTTTAAACTTCCAGTGCTAGCGTACAGCAAAAAAGATTTCCCTTCATGCCACAGTCTAAATGAAACGTTCAGCTCTGGTTCATTCAGGAACATAAAAACTTGCCGTCTGAATGATAACACGTGCTTTAAAGCCTCATTTTTGCATCCAAGAGAAATCATTCTAATTGGACTAGCCAACTTTCCATAACTTACAAGAGCTCGTTCAATTTCAGCATTCTTTATGAACGGTGGCACGTTTGATATCGTTACACGCGTTGTCGGCGTGACAAGCGGTGAAACAGTGATATAAGCGCCACTTACCTCAACACCCGTGCTTATCAAGTGATTCACCAAGTTTTCTTCCTTCACAAAAATAACGACTGCCTTATTCATGCGGGATGCAGAGCAGATATTTTCATATCCTATTTGCTCTCCGGCTGCCAACAGTACATCCTCCACGGTCACTCCAGGTTCAGCCATACACCTGACACCGTGGCGGAGAGATAGAGACGCCGCGCCCTCCGCAGGTGAGGAGGCCATCTCTTCTCTTCTCCGCCACACCAAAACTACAAACAATAACTTTTTACTTACGTCTTCAATCCACTTTACTTTCGTTTATCACTTTAATAAGAGAAAAAAGAAAGAAAAGGAGAGAAAATCAGACGCCCTCTCACCGTGTTCACCCTCGCACGCACCCGTACACTCCCAGCATGCACCGAGAGAGAGAGAGAGAGAGAGAGAGAGAGAGAGAGAGAGAGAGAGAGAGAGAGAGAGAGAGATAGACGCAGTGGCACAGTAGGTAGTGCTGTCGCCTCACAGCAAGGTCGCCGATTCTAACCTCGGCTTGGCTCAGCTGGTGCTTCTGTGTAGAGTTTGTATGTCCTCCCACAGTCCAAAGACATGCGGCACAGGTGAATTAGGTAGGCTAAGTTGTCCTTAGTGTATGAGTGTGTATGGATGTTTCCCAGAGATGGGTTGCAGCTGGAAGGGTATCCGCTGTGTAAAAACGTGCTGGATAAGTTGGCCGTTCATTCAGCTGCGACTTAATAAAATGGGAATTAATAAAGGGACAAAGCCAAAAAGAGAATGAATGAATGAACAAATGAATGAATGAATATATATATATATATATATATATATATACACACACACACACACACACACACACACATATACATTTATTTATATATATAAAGTATATATATTATTATATATATATTAGTCCCTTTATTAATCCAGGTTCGCAGCAGAATGAACCGCCAACTTATATATATATATATATATATATATTATACACACACATATACACACACAAAATATGGCTAAATGTAAAAACAGTATACCAATATTAACCACAATTTTATGTTATTCCTAAGGATGGAAAACAAGTGTATTTGGGCCACCACAGCAGAGAGTGACTCTTATCTGCTGACCACAGCATTCATCATACATTTATGTCACGCACGGCGAACAACTGACTTGCAAAACTGGGCTGCGTGACACACACACACACACGCAGGCGTTATGTCCTGTGGGAGGAGGTTTGTGTGTGCTCACTGCGGTGCTCCTCCATCCTCCCTGCACCGCTGTAATGGAGTATCGATCTGCTCCTGCCGCAGTGTTTAAAATGAGAGCTGGAGCGACTCAAGGTCATCACTATGGCAACTTAAAAATCAGATGGACTGTCGCCGCGCTCCTGTCATAAAAACAGGCCATGAAGTCAAATTTATGTGATGTGAAAAAGAGACAAAGGACGAGGGGAAAAAAACAACAAATCAAGTTATTTTCTATTGAATGAACACTAACGACGTGTTGTACAGGCGAAGCATTTTATTGCACATCCCACTTATCAATACAACAGAAACAAGCTGCAAAATAAAAGTCAAAAAAGCAAATGTTTGCATAAAAGGAGAACTTGTATAATGAAAAAAAATGCTTCCACTGGGAATATTGGCATCAGGTTACACTGAATAGCAGAAATACATGATCTTTGCTTATCATGCGGTTATTAAATCATGCATGGCTGACTGGCTAATGTAAGAAAAATTAAGCATAGCTCAAAACAAAATGATTATGTAATAACCGGTACCCACATACCACAGAAACTGACCATCGAAACAATACAATCGTGTTGTTTGATTTTTCATGCTCTTTCTGATGAGCTAGCATGACCTTTTGATCAAAAGCTGATTAAGCAGATTTAAAATACCATATATATCGAATATACATGGCCCAAAATGTGTCAAAATCCAGTCATTATTTAGTCACCCTTACGTTATTCACGTTATTAATCCAATATAAGACTTTATTTCATTCTGCTGTTAAACATTTACTGAAAAAAAAGGCTATTTGTTTTGTCAGTTTCTTTATAGCCTATTAAAACAGTTAAAGTCTTTGAAAAGTCTGTCAAAATAAAAGTCATTCAACTTTAAAATTATGTTTTGGGTGAACTGTGCATTTAAAGCAGTGATGCCCAAACTAGGGCCTGCGGTAACTTTTGATTTGGCCCACCATCCCATCTGAGTCGAGTGGGAGAATTATGGGTAAGGTTGAGGCGAATGTCTTCAACAGAGATCATCACTAATTTAACATAACCTATGTTTGTTTGTTTAATTGATGAACTACAAAACAATTAAGTGAAATTAAATGTTGTGAATTAATAAAAAATTTTAAAGAGTCACGAAATCCATTTTATATAATAGTATTTGTGTGTGGCACGTTGCTAAAACTATATCGTTTTTGTAAAAAAAAAAAGAGATAGTGTCGGGTTTTAATGTATTATAAGTACAGTATTAAAAAAAGTTTTTATTTTTATTATTATTAATAATATGATTAGATTTTTTTCTATTTATTTTTAAATATTGTTAAATTAGTAAGTGATCCTGGCAAATAATGTAATAGAGTTTGGTATATTTAGCTTCGGCCCACCACGCTCAATCAAGTTTTGTTTTTGCCCTTCATGAAAAAAAGGTTTGGGCAGCCCTGCTTTAAAGAGATGAAAATTCTGTCATCATTTACTCACTATCATTTTGCTCCAATCCTGTTTGAGTTTATTTATTCTTTATTATTATTAGACTTCCATAGTATTTATTATCCTATTACTGATGTCAGTGGCTACTAGTTTACAACATTCTTAAAGTGAATCTCTCAAACGTTTGACTATACTGCATTTTTTTACATGGTCTTAGTTCATTTACTACCTTGTGCTTTGATATTTCAAAATAAATAAAATGTAACAAACTAACAGGTACCAGTAAAGGCATTTAAAGGTCTTTGAATGTGCTTCATCTGTCTGGGCCATTTAACAGTCCATTTAACAGTCTTTCCTGGCCAATCGTTCAGTAAACTAATATTGTTAGATTAGTGCAACCAACAGGTGCTGATACAAAAGATGAGGGGAGACATTTGAGGTTAACGTGAGGCAAAAGGTCAAAGGTGAGAGGTTTAAACGGGTTCCATGAGCAACTCATCCACGTCAGGAGACTCCAGCTCATGAAACGCAGCATGAGACCCGATAACAGCCAGGGTAGCACCTGCAGTGAAACAATTCGAGAGGTTCAGAAGGAACATATGGAGAAAACAGAAACATAACGGAAGGTTAAAAACTCACCTAGAACCCAGAAGACAGCGGATCCTGCTCCTGCAAGCCAGAAGACTGGGAAGGAAACCCCTCCTGCCAAACCCAACTGGTGTCCCTGAGTCAATTCACGACCTGAGATGCATCACAAATGAGAGCATTTCCTCAATAGAAACACTTACATCAAAACAAATATTCAGATGAACTAGTACTTTAAGTACAGAGATACAAACTATGAATCAAGCTATCAACTTCTGCTTTGATACAGATACATTTGAAACATTTTCTTCAACACAAGCCCTTTTTTTTTTTTTTAATGTCTTCCACAAGAGTTTGTCCAAATCATCTGTAAATGCTGGAATTATCTTTCTGTGAAAATGTCAGCTTGGTGAGATACTGAGAGACCAGACAAAATAAAGTAAAAAAATGAACAACACAAAAGCAAATTCATAAAAGTAAAGACAAAATAAATAAAAGAAAATAAATAAAAATGAAAAAATAAAATAAAATAATTTTTATTTTAAATGTTGACAATCATTTTATTATCTAAATATATATATATTCATATATAATTCCTACAATATAACATTTCCCTAGAAAAGCGCTATTTTCATTGGCTATGTCTTTGATATTAAAATAAGCAGTTAAAATATTCATTCATTCATTTCCTTTTCCGTTTAGTCCCTTTATTAATCAAGGGTCGCCACAGCGGAATGAACTGCCAACTTATCCAGCTAATGTTTTACACAGTGGATGCCCTTCCAACTGCAACCCAGTACTGGGAAACATCCATGCACACTCATTCACACACATAGACTAAGGACAATTTAACTTACCCAATTCTCCTGCAGCGCATGTCTTTGGACTGTGAGGGAAACCGGAGCACCCGGAGGAAACTCTTGTGAACAAGGGGAGAACATGTAAACTCCACACAGAAATGCCAACTGATCCAGCCAAGGCTCGAACCAGCGACCTTCTTGCTGTGAGGCGATCGTACTACCCACTGCACCACCGTGACACCCCAGTTAAAATCTATTTTTCAAATCTAGTTACTATTAAAAAACAGTGTCAAGCTGCAAATATGTAGTCTTTAAACACTATGAATGAGTGAAAACTCATTCAGCTTCCATTGGTGCTGGAAAAGTTGAGAAAGTCCCATCTTCTGCAGCAAGCGGATCCACAATTCAGTTCGGCAACACCTGACGTCACCCATTCTAAGTGAAGGGGAAGCGCTGACGCCCTGTGTGAATTAGCCGTTAAGGCACCTATAAACTTCAACTTTGAAACTTATTTTCAGTCACAAAAATGCAGCTTATCATGTAAACAAACAGGCAAAATGCATAAAAAGTTTCCAGTTTTGGCCCAAAAGCCTTTTCTCTAAGATTTCTACTGGTAAATCATGAATTGAGAGGTCATTTTCACAATTTAAACTATAATACATGAAGACATTTTAACTGTGTCCACATAAGAAAAATCTCACAGTGCAAAACAACCCTCTAGATGTGGAATGAAGAACCCAAACATGATGAAAAATATATGCTTCTAAATGTAGCCTCATACACCATTACTAAAAGAACATCTCACTTTCTTACCAAAAACCACCAGCTTCTTTTCCAGCGTTTTCAAGTGGATTATATAGAAGGCACCAGCAAACACTCCCAAAGCAATCAAAAGCATTGGAGAACTGATACTGAAACAGAAGATGAGAAAGAAGATGGCTAATTAGCACTAAATCTAACATCCTGACACATCTTGTCAATGTTTATATTGTTAAACGTCTTCCAGATGGTTGCGTAAATGTGAACATTAAGCACACACTCACACACCCATGTTGAGTGAGTGTGTGCAGAGGCTTTGAGGTGGCTGTTGCTAGATCGGGTATGGTTGCGGCTGGAAGTTAATGAGAATTATTTATATTTATTATTAAATTTCACATTTATTGTATTTTATTAACGTCCACCCCAACCGTCACAGTACTGTAAAAATATTAAAGGGCCATGAAACCCCCGTTTCAGCAGAGTGTTTTCACACCTCTACTTTGGAAAAAAGTCAGGAAAGTGGGCGTGTCCAGCTCTTTTTAGGGGGGAGTGTCGAAGGAGGGGAAAAGGCATGGTCCGTAAAAATTTGCATAAAAATGGGAGTGTCGGTTTGGGCACGCGCTGATTTTTACAGAGGCAAAAACAAACACACAGACGCAGAGGAGAAAGACAGTAACTGTGTTTACAAATTTATTAAATTTGTTTAAAATTATTAAATAGTGGACTTTAAGTGCAGCTTGGCTCTTTCATTCAAGAATTTCATTCACGCCCCTCGTGACAAACGAGATATGTGATTAGAGGAATTGCTGGAAGGGTGTATCTTTTATGCAGTGTTTGATACCGCACGGCAAATGAAAGAAAAAGAAAAAAAACTCTGTATTTTAACTCTGCATTTCTCTGTAACTTAGATGCACTCGGTAGGTATAGTGTGTTATTCCTGTCACACAATGCGGCGAAAATCCTCCACAACGGTAAGTTTGTTTGTGGCACTTACACTCAGGAGAGCAGCATTTACAGCAGATTTTTCAGTCCGTAATATTGTAGTGATATTAACATACAGTAAACTTTATTAACTTAGAAATCATTCATCTAAGGTCTATCTTTAAACACTGAAAGAGTACTGCTGACGATACGAACTAACTTTGTCTCTGAATAAACGAACAAAGACCACTAGTCGCTCAGGACAGGACAATCAACACTAACTGGAGCCACGTCTTTATTAAAAGAAGACGAGAAGTTGCACCGCATACACAATAGAGCGCGCTGATTGGTTTGAACCAAGTCTTACTCATGACTGAATGCAACACACTCAGAGACGTAATAAGAAACTCCTAGGTACAGACGTCCAGTCTATAAGCAGGAATACACGCTAAGATCTCATGGCCGTGACGCAGCTTTAAAAATTTGTTTCAAACCGGAATTACGAATTTGCTCGAAATAATGCAAAAACAACCAATTTTCACTTTTTAGTGAAATATGTGTCCTAATAGTGTTTTTAGCAGTGTGGGACATGTATACGACTGTCAACAGCTCAAAAAATGCGTTTTGGTGTTTCGTGTCCCCTTAATTATTGTTATACAGCATCATAAAAAATGGTGCTATATTGATGTGCATATCGCACTTCCAGCCGGCCGCATATGCAATCTAGACTTTACCTTTTGAGGTGTCTTTATTATAGCGAAGCCTATTTTGTCTATATGAACTAGTTTAATGCATTTTATTTCCATACATTTAAATTTCAGGGTGATTTTTACTGAGCAGTTCCTTACATGCAATAGAGGATGAGAGCCATGAAGATGAAGGTGTAGTTGCTCTGATAGGTGTCCAGGTTCCTCACAACACGCTGGCACAGCTCTCCAAAATTACGGGGCTTGGAAAACTTGCGCTGGTCAACAAAGCCGGCCCACGGACGGATGGACTTCCGCCTGCGGTCCACCCAATCCTTAATCACATTTCCAGACAGACCTTTGGGCAGCCAAAGCCTGACATTCAAGAGAGACGGCAATAATATTTAGTAATAAAAATAATAGCGTCATAACTCAATTAAAAGTAACAACATCGCATATGGGCATATTTTATAAATGGGTGTGTGTGTGTGTGTGTATATTTATATATATATATATATATATATAT